TTAGTAGGATTCTGTGTCAAATGGGAATTTGATGAGTCTATCTCAATAAGGAGAATACTTCCAACCTATCCGGGGAAAAAAAATCCCACAAAATCTGTAAGGAAACAAATTAAGCTACAGCTATAAAAACAAACAAACTGGCTGAGCACAGTAGTGCATGCCTATAACCCCAACTACTTGGAAGACTGAAGCAAAAGAATTGCAAGTTCAAGGACAGCCTAACAACCTTAGTGAGACCCTGTCTCAAAACAAGAAACAAAAAGAGCTGGGGGTGTAGCTCACTCATAAAAGTGCTTGCCTAGCACACACAAGGTCCGAGTTCAATCCTCAATACTGTAAACAAACAATCTCTGGCACAGATGTTATTTTAAAGCTTTAACATTATAATTTTTCTGTCTAATTCTCTTTACATGATAAAATACAAAGAGAACTGAAAAGAGGAAAGTTTCACTGAAATAAGTAGATATGAAGAAAAAGGCTGAGGTAATGATGAGTTCTCTTTAATTACCAAGAAGGAAATCTGTTTTCAGATGAACAAGTCAATATTATTCTTATGTATCCTTACCTCACTTTAATGCAAGGGTGCAAATGCATCATGTCTTAGAGAGGTTTATCTTGTGGATGTTTGGAAGTTAGTTTGTACTTATCTAAACTTCATATACAATGAAATGCTTTCAGCAGCTCAGCTTTAGTGATAGCTGATTAGAGTCCTAGGAAGCCCCATTAGTAGTTCCACTACTACACAAGTAATGGCAGCTGGTACATTTCTGGTCATGATACATACTCCTATCATTTTGTGACCAGTCAGCCTTTTCCTCCTTAGATTGATTTTTTATAACACTTACAAATCAATTTTTTAACTCAAGAGTGCTTAACCACTGAGCTACATCCCCTACCTTTTTTATTATTTTGAGATAGAGTCTCACTAAGTTGCTGAGGCTGGCTTTGAACTTGTGAATCTCTTGCTTAAGCCTCCCAAACTGCTGGGATTACAGGCATGCACCACTGCAACAAGCAATTTGTTGATATTTTATCATGGATTAAGAATACTATTTATAGATGTTTGTGGGTAGATAGGTAATATAGAAGCAACCTACGGAGTGGCAGAGCTGCCCTACGCGCCTGCAGGGTAGGCGGACCTGCGACCCACCAGCAGAACAGGTCCAGCGGCCTGCTGA